AAGAGCGGGCCTAATGGCCTGAGTCTCGCCACGTAAAATAAGGCATAATTCAATTCAATTCAAATTCAAAGTTTAATCAATAAATTTGATGGCTTTTTGAAAAAAAAAATTGAAAATGTTTGTGATTCTTTATGTGAAATACTCTCAAAATCAAAATATTCATTTGAAACTCCAGAAGCCTCGAGTGGGTTCGTATCCAGAGAGAAAGAGCTCTGGGTGAATAGTGAATAAAAAAAACATGTGCTGAAGAGTGCACTCGACTGAGAAGTCTCGCGTGATCTCCCAACTCACGTCAATCCTCAACGAATCATTTTACTAGTGTGCACCATGCCAACTTCGTGATTCAATTTTCCTCTACTTACATAACTATTACGGACCGGAATAAGTTGTCTGGGAGAGTCTTTTAACCCTTTCCTCTAAGTGTTCGAAGATAAAGGATTTAATAATAGTTCATTAATTCATTAATAATATTTCTGATTAACACTGCTGTAAGAAACATTAACTAATTCTTTGAATACATGAATAATATTAAACAATATAATGCTCTCTTTAAGTTTCAAGCAAATTACTTTCTCCAATAACATAAAACATTGAGGTGAATGTTTGCTGGGGGAATAGTGAACGAGAAAACATGTGCTGAAGAGTGCACTGGACTGAGTAGAGTCTCGCGTGATCTCCCAACTCACATCAACCCTCAACGAATCTTTTTACTCGTGTGCACCATGCCAACTTCGTGGAACAGCTGTAATGAAAAACCGAATTCTTCCGGCAAATTTCCTTTGTCTGCTTGTGCAGGCGGGCGGCGATTTATTGCATCACAATAAATAACGGAACTAGAAAGAACGAACCCTTGTTTACATGAACACGACCGCATGAGCCAGCAGGTTGAAACCCTTGCTGAAGTTTACGCAGTTGTGTCATCAATGATTCGCATTGTCGTTCGCGACTCACGTGATTGTTCGACTGTTTTTTTTTTCAGTTTTGCATTGTAATACGTTCTAAATATTCGAAGTTTTACGTATTAGAGCTTGTTCTTTGATTGTAATGGGTTTGTAATAGTCAGTGAGATTTTCCAGGAATGGTTAGTTTTGCCACTTAAGCTTTTTTTTGTGAATTTCAGAGGCCCGAAGAAAGTTATGGCGAGTCGCAGAAGGGCTGGAGAGAACCGCTCAAGAGATGGCACGGACGCCGTCAGCAACGCCTTCCAGCTGGTGGCGCAGGGGCTGACACAGCTACAGGCGACTCTTCGCCTGGAGAAACAGGAAGCGGAGCGCAAGGTCCAGGAGGCTGAGCGGAGGATGCAGGAGGCCCTGCGCCTGCAGGAGGAGAGAGCGACAACGGCGTTGCGGGAGATGGAGCGGAAGCTGCAGGAGAAGGACGACGCCATCCGCGCTCTGCAGCAGCGACTGGAAGAGACCGAGGAGAGAGTGCCGTGGAGGAGAGGAGGACCCGGCACGGAGGACGTGGCAGGGGAGGGAGTTGCAGCGTTTGGAAGGCCGTGTGAATGAGATAGAGGCTTCTCTGCAGAGTGCGGTAGAAACGTTTGTGCCCCGCGTTGAGGCTCTGTTGCGCCAACTGGAGAAGCCCAAATCTGCACGTGCGTCTCTTGCCACCGCCGCCGTCGCCACCTCCGCCGCCATCGCCCGTGAAGCACCGGCGACGGGTGGGGCAGCAGCGGGCGGAGGGGTGGAGCCCCCCTCCTCCACCCCCACCCCAACTCCCACTCCGTCAGGCGCCGGCCACCAGGGTGCAGCGGCCGACGAGGAACAACGCGCGAGGCGGCGGGTGGAGCTCCTGATTCGGCAGGAGGAGTTGAGGTGGGATAGGGCACAAACCTCCCCTTCCCCCCTGGGTGAGCAGTTGTCTGGGGCGGCAGAAGCGGGAAGACTGAGTGAGGTACGACATCTCCTAGACTCCGGTGCTGATGTCAATTACACTGGCCGAGATGGTTTCACTCCTCTGCGAAACGCAGCCTGGCAGGCGCACGCGGACGTGGTGGCTTTTCTGCTCCAACGAGGCGCCAACGCCAACTCCGTCAACTGCAACGGGTCTTCCGCGTTGCACTTGGCGGCCGGCACGGACAAGAGCGGTCGGTGCGTGGAGCTGCTGGTGGACGCGGGCGCCGACGTCAACGCTAGAGACGAGAACGGAATGACTGCTCTTCACTGGGCGGCGTTCAATAGCAATCAGGAAACAGTGCGCGCGCTGCTCGCGAGCGGCGCCAGGAGAGACCTCAAAGGGTGGGCAGGACGTTGGAAGAACAAGTGTCCGTTTGACCTTGCGACGTCTCGTGCCGTGCAGGACCTCCTGCGAGGGTAGAGCCACGAGCGAAAGGGAGAGTCCTCTGACCTTCGCCCTCCAGGGAACTTTGCGGTGAAGATGCACGCGTATGGGGGTAACAATCGCCGAAGTCGTGAAGATCCTTGAAGAGAACTTTCGGGGGAACATGCTTGAATATTTTATAATTTTTTTCTCTAACTTCCGATTTTTGTTCTCCCACTGCTATTCTTGGAGCTCCAATTCCGTGTACGTGGTTGAGTGTTGGAACTTTGAATATTTTTTGCGGCAGGTATTTGCGATGTGTCCTTGGTCTTCACACATTCTGCAAAATTGGCTTCTCAATTTATTGTGGTTTCGTGTACTATTGTTAGTGTGGTAGGCAAAGCGTTTCTCCTTGGATTGAAAATCATTTAATACACTTCACTGTTGTAGGTTCATTGGGTCCATTTGCAGACCTTGCAGCATCAAAAGTTGTAGTCAGCTGTCGCATGATCTTAATGGAGTGGTTGAAAGTCATCTTGCGTATCACAAACTCATAATTCCAAATAGCTTCACTCCATAGTCTTGGGCCACTTTCTTATTGTCTATATCGTGAAGCTTCTTGCAGCCATTCATTGTACCCGTACGGTTAAGCTGAAGACTTCAAGTTAGGGTGTGAAAAATATTTTCTCTGGCAATTGGTTTCTCATAAAATCCTTGTAGTTTTCTCAGGTCAACAGAAGGTGAGGGTTTCAAATGACAACTCACTGATTCGACTAAATTGTCAACAGTCTCGTAGGGATATACAAGGCCCGGTTTGAGAGCCGCCTGTTAGACCGCAGCAAGTCTAAGGGGGTAGTAGGTGAGCAGATTTCCTCGGATGCTCGGGTATATACACACACATCCAATTAGTTTTGTTTGGAAAACTCGGGCAAGGAGATAGTACTGGTTTGTTTATTAGCACAGCAATTGTTTAGATTTCTGCTACACGCTCTGCTAATTATTTTGAATCCGCCTGGTATTTTGCAATTATATATACCAATAATTCTTGAATATCTATCTATATCTATATTTAGGTTTGGATAAGATTAATACACAGGCAAAAGGACATTGAGTTTAAATTTTTTATTCGTTAGATGATTCATCTTAATCAGGATAGTTACGAAAAATTCTGATTTATAGAGCACATTTTCTACACCCCTCCGCTACACAGAGATGTCCATCAAAAATATTACAAATGTAACAAAAAATGAGTTGGAGAAAAAATAAGTTTTCCCGGTGCCGACTTTACATGAATGTATATTAGTATTAACGCACCATACATTTAAAAAGTTGTAGAGTATAAATAGCAACCCAAACGTTAGGAATAAACATCGCACATTAACGATTTGCACGTGGAATGGAACCCGCCGTTCCCTTTATGTAAATCTGGAGATGAATAATGTTAAGAATCTTACATGATGTTGTGAGGATGTACCAAGGTATAACTTAAATCATCAAATGTCGAATAAGGAAAGTAAACCTCGGAAATATTTTATAAACAGAGGCGTATTTACGCTGTGGCATCTCCCATGGGCACCACTCACATATGGCGGTTTTATAGTACACGCTAAAACAAATACCAACCCTAATTTGAAATATTCTGACGTGCGAAAATTCTATGCTTGCTATGGGCGCTTGAATACCTAGATACGCCTCTGTTTGTAAATAATGTAAAATATAAACAATTGGGTTTTGTGAATAGTTGCTCTTAGTCTGAGGCATAGAAGTTTATTATTATTTTTAGATAATAGGTTGTTTATGATTGTTGTGTGAAATATTTTAATTTTCTTTATTGATGTCATTTTTTTTGTTTAGAATAAGTTCACAGTGAAAACATTCGAATTGCTTTAGAATATAGATCGGTCTTCATCTCTATAATAGTTTCCTCTTACTTTGATTCACTTTCACTTACGTTATACATAGGTTTATGTGAAAATTGCCACTTGTTAATTGTACCTATATAAATAAAATTTGAATTTCTGTGATTTCAAAACATTTACCCTTTGTAATACCCTCTTGTTATTTAAATAATTTTAGCGTACCTGAACGAGAAGTACCGCATGGGAATCCCCAACTTTTCCCTATCCTTTCCAAAAAAAGAAAGTCAATGTTTACTTGTTCAAAAATGTGTAAATGTAACTTTGTACTTACCGAATATCAAACAAAAAAAACACGACAGTCTTTTCGGGAGTTTCGTTGTGTGTAGCGAGTTCAAAAAGGACGTGATGGATATTTTCATATTGAAGAGTTGTTGCTGTTGCTGCCGGTAAAGGACGAACATAAGTCAGTTTCCTGCATTATATATTATTACGACAATAGATACAGTTCAAAATTCTCTAAAAGTTCCTCTCGGTTCATGCCCTCTTGAGGAAAATCTGGAATTCAAGAGACTAGGAAGGCTTACTCCACGCCTTCAAAATTTTATTTAAACCAAATTTTTCATTTTATTCATTCAAAATTTTAACAAACTGCAAAAAGAAAACTCAATCGAAAAATCAAAAAATGATTTTTACAATTGTTGAGACTACGAAATATTGCTGAGATGAATTGGGGGAGCATTCAAAGAGACTGCAACGAAAATCGATTTTTCAATGAAAAATTCTCATCGGACGAGAGAGTTCTGGAAAAGAAACGACACAATTGACAAAGATTGTTCCATTGCAGAAAGAATCAAGTCAAATTGAAGAGATTGGCATGGTTCCCTCTGTCCGGGCGAAAATAAACTTTTCCTCACGAATTTCACGCGAGGTGGGTACGTTCAATGCGCTTTGCTGTGTGAGGTCGTAGGCTGTAGAAATGTGCTGGAAATTGCTTGGCAGCGCTCCTAATCAAACCTTCAGTGCGCCCAACACACTTCATCCAGCTTCCGTGCACGCTGGCTAAGAAAATGCTCATGGCTCCTTTGATTTTCATGACTGCGAGCTCGTCGCGTCTGATACGGAGAAAGTTGGATTCCGAGAAATCTGACAACGGGTTCATCTTTCGTGGGGGCCGCCCAGGAGATGGTGCAATCTATGGGTGACTTTTGGAACTAACACAAAGCAGTTGGCAATCGATATCATAGAACTTCCTACAAAACAAATGAGAGTTTGGTGTACTGGGAAGGAATTTGCATGGCTTTTTGAGCAAAATCGCCGCGCCGGAAAGTTTGAAATGTGTGAACACTTTTTCTACAATGCCTTCAAATATCAGCGAAACTGAGCGGTTCGAAGCGTGGCACCAAATTTGAATTCGTTCGATGCAAACAAGAAATACAATTTTTTATGTAGGTGTAATTCGAAGAGTGTTCTGTTTTGCTTTCATTGGATATTGTTTAGTGGTGAATGGACGTGGACAAAAATTGGATTTAAATAAGTTAGTAGATCGATTAAAAAACATAAAGCTTCTGGAACTCACGTAAAAAAACAGTTTAGTTAGCGTTATAAGGAACTACCAATATTGCAAAACAGTTAATGATTACAGGGGAAATATTGGAATTCACAATGAGCAAGAGAAACAAAATATACATAAAATATACATGTATTGATCACTATAATTTTATTCGATTCTGTGGTATTTTGAATTAGTTTTAATGGGCAACAATGAAACCAAAAAAGTCACAAATCCAGAAGTTGTTACAGGAATAATAGATTTCGGTGCAGAACAAGACATTGCTTTAAAAGCCATTTGGAAAGTGCGACAACTACAATTATGAGGATACAATGATACTTTCTCGTATACATACGTACATATTATACGGAGTATGCAGAACGATATAATGCTGCGCGAATAAAGGCGGAATTTGGGCGGAAAATATTCATTACCGAGAATTATAACGAAAAAGTGGATTCCATTTGTTAAATTAAGAAAATATTGCGGTTACAGAGTGGCACAGACGTTCCCGTATTAGTTTTCTATTTCCGTCGGTGTCGCTAGCAATTCGGATCTCCCACGTACTCTTGCCAGCTGCCATCTAATGGCGAACAAGAACACTTTTTGAAATGTTCTTAATTTTTCGGTTTTCTAATGGTAGAACAGAAATATTATTTTAAGAATATTAAAAAACAGTAAAACTTCTTCCCAAATGGCAATTATCTTTCAACGTTTCCAAACGTTTTTTTATTATTTTTTTAAAAGAAAATTGCGTTTGAATGGTCCTGTAAATTCGTAATTTGAAGCTCTTTTTATAGAAAATTTTCGGGTTTTCGAAAAAAAACACTAGAAGTTCTTCGAAGCACTTTCACTCAGAAATACAATAGTATTTACAAATTCGAAGAAATGTTTCTTACACCGTAATCTGCAGGATAAGTTGTTCTTGAATATTCTATTACCTTTTCCTTGTCCGACACTACTCGTTTTTACCACACCTGCTTAGAGACGTGCAGAATCTGCTAATAGATGTGTATGGGAGGGACGGAGAGAGAACGAGAGGGAGAGACGATTACGGAGGGAGAAACGAGAAAGGAAGGGAGGAGGTGTGACGAAGAGAGAGGGAGAGACGGTGAGAGAAAGGGAGATGGAAGCAGGAAGAGGGAGAAGAAGGGCAGAACAACGTGTGTCGAGTTCCGCTAGTCCAAAATATAAAACTGCGCCATAACTACGCCTAGAAAACGAAAGAAGACTTGTGTCGTGGGCAAAACTGCAGCAATTGCTATTTGAAGGAGCCATATGTAAACAAAATATCATGTAAGATATCTGAACAATAAAACAAAGGTTCCAGAATACGTAAATCCAAGCAATATCCTTGTAATGCATGTCTGTAAAACTTGCAGTAGCTTGCTGGACGCTTGGAGGCGCGTGGCGCTATTGGCGCGCCAGCATTCCGAAACTCATGTCGTAGTTCAGAGCCCGCCGTGAGATGGCAACACTGTTACTGGGCGTATAAGAACGCGGGTCAAGTTGTCAAACGTACTTTATCGCTGGCTGTAGCTGCCGTGTGATTCTAAGAAAAGACAGGTGCATGAGATGCATTGATGTGCATTGTCCACCAGTAAACAGAGTTAAACGAGTTAAATTTGGCATCTTGTAAAGGTATGTTATTGTGCTATAAGAGTAGGCTCTTGTTTAAATGTGGTCAGCCCCATGTGTTATTTGTTCGTAAAATATTGAAAGTAAAAAAAGTAAAAACATTCTTTTTTGAATTGATAATTAATTAATTCGTTATTAATATTATCTAGCGGTAGTTATATTAAAACCAAGCATTTAGTATCAACCGGTTTTCAGCGTCTGGGAAGTCTAAATAATGGAGACGTCAAGTAGAAAAATACATAATTGTCATTTATGGTTTTATTTTATAGAATTTCTGTTCACATTCTCAATAAAAATGTTATAGCTGAACAATATGTTCTGTCAAGGACTTGCACTAATATCTCCATAAAAATGTTAATAAAAGCAGCTCAATCAGTGCATAGTGCAAGGTTTAAAATAACTATATATTTGTTATTTGTACGAGAATTATGTATGAGTAAGTTTATTCACCAAAAACGAAAAGAACTATGCTCCTCTGTGTGATGATACCATTTTCAATTGAAACTCCTTAAAAGTGAAGCTGATTGAGTAAAGTCACAATTTTTCTTCAAAAATAATTTATTATGTTACAATTTATTAATATTACATAGAACATTTCCTGTCAGCTGCCTTTTGCTATAATATCCATTAAGTATAGAAATATTCATTTTAATTTACTTAAAAATTTAGGAAATAACTCTTCTCTCTAAAGTGTAAGGAATTTTCGTATACAACTTCATACTAAACACTTAAATAATGTATTATTGTGCTCTGCCATAGTTAATTCATAGAATTCAGCATTTGTTACTATTAAAGTAACCTGAGTTTCATTAGTATTGTCTTCGTGGATAGTTTTTGAAATTAAGAACCCTTTTTTTTTTAAATAGGTTATTTTAGCTTTCAGATATACCTTTATTAATAGCTACTCTATGTACCATTGTTGTGAAGGTATTTATTAATCGCAATATTGCCTATGTGACAGGAAAATAAATTAATTCTCGTCCTCATGCCCTGTGCCACAACGTGGAAACATTGTTTTTACTCACAGTCCTCGCTCTTGTCTTGTCTGCCCTCGCCTCTGCCCATGGAACCCTCTCATATTCACTTTGACCCTATTATTTTCATTATAATTCATCAATCATTTTAAGAGCTTCAGTAAGCAGATGCTGTTACAGTAAACATCCAATAACTATATTTACTCTTCATCACTCAATGTGAAATGGCATTATTGGAATGAATTAAAATGCATGAAGCAGAAACTTTTATAAGCTATAAGAAAAGTTGAATGTACGTTGATAGATTTCATCACCCTTGTCAAAGTAATTGTAGAACCTTGAAAGATTTGGTTCTAAAAGGCAGTGAATGGGCATAAAGGTAATTTTGTCTTGGGCAGAAAGTCTCATTTCTAGTGGTATGAAGATCCATGGACAAAATCTCATTTTCAGAATAAATATAAGATTAAAAAGCTACTGAACTGTATAAATATAGCAGGTCCACTTCAAATGTAGTGGAGTGTGTTACACCAAAACACAACACCATTGCATACTCAATATTGTTGCTGTGTTTTGCAGATCAAATTAAGATGGGGAGAGCACTTATTCCATATCACGTTTTATCACAATGTAAAATACAACTTAATACAACTTTATTTTTACTGGTCTCAGAGCAGTATTTAACCCCAATTATTGTATTTGAATGGTCAAAAGACCAAAGACAAAAATTCATAAAAGGTGTTAATGTTTCCTGCCCAATTCGCACACATATAAACATAGCTATAGATGTGGATTTAATAGAAGTGGCAATGTTTGACTCCTGTGGAGTAACACTGCCATTTTGATTACCTAAAAAAAAAGGAATGAAATCTATCGTTACAGAAGCTGTTACTCCAATATTTTGAAGAAAACTTGTGTGTACTTTTGTAAGTGATAAAATAGTCAGAATTATTATTGTGAAGATTGTTGCAATAAAGGAGAAGTTTAAAAGTCAAAGATGTGGCAATGAGACCCCCTTTTACTTCAAAGATTGAGTAACTTCTATAACTTCTTTTTTTGCTTTAGACCATAATTAGATTTTTGTGATGGGTTTATTTGTGTCAAAAATAAAATCCTGTGGTCGCGATCATCACATTGTTATCCACCTACTGCACAAGAAGCAATTTGTTTCTGTTCTTGAAATGAGTAGTTAAGTGATTGTCTCTTCCTTAGCAAAAGTTTTAGCTGGCTTCACTGGCAGGATCTTACCCCGTTTTCTCTGATGGCTCTTCTGGCTAGAAACATCTGATTTTGCAAGCTTTGCATCAGACGTATGGTAGTAAAATAAATATCGAAATAAATGGTATGCTTATTTGAATTAGAGAGATGTCTTAGTAAATAAAGCACAACATTAAGCAATTATTTACTAACATTTTTCTTGCTGCCCTTTCCACAATAAGTATCAAAGTGACTTCAGTAACTGCAGATCTGCATTTTGTAACTAATAGATACTGGTTTGCCCTTAATATATTCCCTTGATGGATGGTATCTAAAGATTTTTACTATGGCTTTATCTATTGACAAATAGCAGTGAAAAATTCCCCATTGAAATTTTCATTGATCTTATTCATCAGTGTTCTAATTTTGAAGAATCTGCTATTGTTATCCGTCTTATAATTATCTTTTTGTTTGAAATGTAAGTACATATTTTTAGACATAGCCAGAAATATAATCTGGACTCTGTAAGTCTTTGTCTGTCCACCAATGCATTCTTTCTTGGGGTGATATCCTGGTCAAAATAGAATACCGATAAAGATTTTGATGTGTTTTTGGTTCCAGTGAAATGTTGAGAAATTTTGTATTTTGCACAACAAAGTGGCTGATCAACAATCAGTTTTATATTGATTCATCATTACGTTTGGGAATATTTCGACAGGATTAAGATGTTTTAACACATGTACTGGCACATCTTTGTTTGAGTTAAAATTGTCCAGAATAGAAATACTGTGTTTTGTGTAAGAATACTTTTGTTCAGACTATGTTCTGGTCACAAGGCTTCTGTTCAAGAAACTTAGTTTCAATTACTTTCAAATGCTTGTATTTTATTAATCGAGATTTCATGATTAGTTCTGTCTGCATTACTATTAACATCTTTTCTCTATACCACTACGGAACCTGGAAAGTCATTTTGTGAAATATGCATGCAATATTATTTTCATCATTTTCATCTCCATCAGTCAAAGACCATTCCAGTGGTGATATAATCACAAGAATATCTATTTCAAGATCATCTAATGCTCCAGGAAGAAAATTAAAATGTCTATAAAACTGGAACTACAGGATCATCAAAATGTTTATAATTGGCTGTACCTGAAACAATACCAGCCAACTTTACATTGTATAATCTTTTTGCTCATTGTACTTAACTGAGTATGCCTAACTTTTTAATAAATATATATGTTATTTTTATTATGAAGCTCGTTAGTCTGCCAAACATTTATAGTATACTCCTCTAATGGTTATTATCATATGGCAAATATTGAAAAGGTTATAGTACTACATACTAAATTCAATGAATCGCACCCGAAATGCAACATGGCCACACCTGGAAAATCACTCATTTCGCAGGAGAGCTTTTGGAAGTTTTTTCAAGGGCATTTGAAATCAGGAATAAAATTTAACTTTAATTGCTATATTTTGGCTCTGTATAAAACTACATAAATTGCATTCTTGCCTATCACATAATGGAAAAGGATGACATTTTTTGTTACATATGCTTTACATTTATACAATCCAAATGGTATATAATACATTAAATATCATTGTTAAAATTAAGATTACTTTCCTTTTGGATACTCGGTATAATCTCTAACGGTGTAGAACCAGTTGTGCTGCAGAAGAGATTTTACTTGGAACTTAAATTTTTGTATAGAATTTTATCGTTTAATGTCATCTGGCAAGGTGTTATAAAGTACATGTATTATATGTGAAATTTTGTAGTGATTTTTAATACAGTCACCTGATGAATATGATTGCTATGTCGAGTGTTGGTAGTTTGAAACGGCATTTGCTGAAATATATTCCTGCCCTTAAGTCATTCATTTTTGACAAAAACCACTGGATTCATATATGATGATATTACGAGGTAATGGTAAAATACCTAGATTAATAAATAGGGGCAGAATCATGTGGGTGGGATTTGCTTATTCTTGCACCATCTTTTTTATAATCTAAAAGTCTGGAGCTGTAAGATGTATTTCTCCAGAATATTATGCCATATCTCAGGCGGGAATGAACATTCGTGAAATATACACAACAAGGAGTATGGGAGGCTGACTGAATTTGAAAGACTTTCTGGAATACATATATTATTCTACTAGCTAAACAATATATTTCTAATGCAGAAGTACCTGATATTATCTGGAAATTTAATTATCGCAGTATTACCCATTTGTCAGGAAAAGGTATAAATTTTTATAGTGTATCCCCCTTGTTTGTATTCCACCCTTGTTTACCCTGGATCACACTGCAATCTTTCATTGCTTTTACTCACAGTCCTCACTCTCCATTGTCTGGGCTTACTTCTGTTCACTACTCCTTGTCATTTGATCATCATTTTATCGCCATCATTTAAGGGCAGCTGGATGCAGAGCTTTGTTACACAGTCCAGCAAATTTCGAGTAACAATATTAGCTTGCAATTACTGAAAGTGTAATGGCGTCATTGGAATTAATTACAATGCTTTTAGTAGAAAATGGTATAGGCTTTTAGAAATGTTGATGAAAATGAACTTTGATCAATTTCTCCATCCTTGTCAAAATATTCAGAGAAAGCTGAAAGAGTGCTCATTTAAATTGTGTTCTAAAAGGCAGGGAATAA